GGCGGGCGGGGCCGGGGCTCCCCGTGGAGGGCGGGGCTCCGGGGCCAAGGGGCCGGCCGGAGGGTGAGGCGAGGGCGGGTGGCAGACTCACGCCAGGCGCCGTCCTGCCTCCTGGGACTTGTAGATGTTGCAGGTGTGCAGGGGCCCCGTGTGGCCCGCCGCCTTGCACAGCGCCTCGTGGAACTGGAACTGGATGATGAAACTGACGAAGTACCTGCGGCGGGAGGAGCAGCTGGGGGTGGGTTCCTCATCCCTGCCTGCCCGCCCCTCCCACTGCCCTCAGGGCGAGCTGCTTTTGGCTTTGCCAGCGCAGACGCCCCGGAAGGGCCTCTCCACGGGCCCCGGGGCGGCATGGGTCAGGGCTCGGTTCTGAAGATTCGGCAGGCGGCTGTGGAGGCTGTGAGGACGCCCCGTGCAAGCAGAGGCCGGGGGCTGCTGGTGGCCACGTGGCTGTAGCCGGGCCGCCAGCCCCACACGATGTGCCGGAAGTCCCGTCAGAGCCAGTCCAAGCCTGGAGAGCTGGCGAGCATCCCGAGCCAGCGTGCAGGCCCCGTGCGTTCTGGGCCCGTGCGCACTCATGCCCTGGCCTTTCCCACAAGGGTCTGCAGAGGCTGCTGGCCAGACAGGGGGTGCTTTCCCGGAGTTGCCCAGTCCCCTCTGCCCACCCTTCTGGAGCACTGTCAGTGCCACCCTCGGAAGGCGACTGTGGCTCAGGCAGCTCTGGGCGAGCAGGGACCAGCGGGGGCTTGGGAGACCTCTCCGGCCGGTGGCCTGGGGATGGCCCTGCTGCCTCTGAGCAGGCGCTCTCCCTTCCTGGACGCTGGGGGACAGACGTCCATCCCACTGTCAGTCCTCAGGTCTGGACTCTGTGCATTGGGCCAGGCGCCGGGACGGCACACGGGCATGGTGGGCAGGGGCCCTGCCCTCACTGGCCTCACAGGGGCCACAGGAGGCCAGGACAGAGGTGGCCACAGCCCTTCTGAGCCTCCGCTGCCCTCTGCACCTTGGCTGCTGGGCGGCCCAGGCACCTGGGATTCCAGCATGGGGTCTCCCCAGCCCCCAGTCTCCCAAGAGGCCTCGGATCCCACACAAGCCTTGCTGGCCCTCAGCAAGCGCTGTCCCTGGCACACGGAGGGAAAGGGCAGCGCAGGGCACAGTCTGTGGGCACGTGACGCGAGCCCCGGTTGTTGGGGCCTTCCAGTGAGGAGGGGCCCACATGACGGTGGGGTTGGGCCCTCCCCACAGGTGTGTAAGAACGCCAAGAGGCTCACCCCTGCACCTGGTGGCTCAGGGCCCACAGGTGAGGGATGGAGGCTCACGGGCATTTGGGATTTTCTCAAGGACACCAAATAGTGGCGACAAGGTTTGAGCCCAGTCCTGTGTGGCCCCAGCCCGTGACTGTGACCCTCCCAGCGACCCGGCCTCCCAACGCCACTGGGCGTCTAACCCTGGGTTTTGGTGAGTAGAAGAGACTTCCAAGTAGGAAAAGATTCGCAGTCTTGTTTTAAAGAAAAAACAGGCTGGGCACGGTGGTTCACGCCTGTCATCCCAGCACTCCGGGAGGCCAAGGCGGGAGGATCACTTGAGCCTAGGAGTTCGAGACCCGCCTGGGCAACATAGCGAGATCTTGTCTCAGTGAAAACAAATAAAATAAAAACAAAATAGAATGATGGTGCTCACTGGTAGAGCAGTGAGTCAAAATAAAATGAAAATAAAAAACAAAGCAGACGGACGGTGCTCTGCCGTGACCCAGCCTGGCTTCTGTGACCGTTAGCGACGAGGAGGGTGAGCCTCTGCCAACATCCGCGTGTTGAGGGACGCGCCTGTCGGTGGGGCAGCAGGTGTATGGGCCAGGCACAGGGGGCGGTGTGTCACGTGACCCTCCCCCCTACGGCTGCCCTGAGCGGAGGGGGACAGCTGCCACGTAAGGGGGCAGGCACGGCGCTGAGTCCACGGCGCAGCCCCCATCCCCGTACCTGATGTAGGGCACGCCTGCAGGAATGTGGAACTTGGCCCCCGGGTCAAAGTCCCCTTGAGTCCTGGGCACCGGGGGGCAGAGACCCTGATACTTCAGCCTACCGGAGACACAGCAGGGAG